CCCTCCCCTCCCCTCCCCTCCCCTCCCCTCCGTATCGTCGCATCAACACCCTCCGCCCTCCAGTCTAGACGGTCTCGTCTTCAGCATTTCGACGCGTGTTGCAGAGGGTGCTGAGGTGTGTCTCCGCTGTGAGTACTTCCTTCGACCACAGGCCAACCACTGTTTCACAATGCTTATCTCCTTTGTGGAGGAGGTCAGTCCGACCAGGACAGAAGTTGCGGTGGCAGCATCCACGCGATTTCGGTACCCTGGCAATCTTCGGGAAGCTCATAAAAAGTCTGGTAAAGTGGTGAATGTAAGCCTCAATATTGGTTTTGTGGACCCATCACCCACCGTCTTTAATCGACCAATGGTCTGAACTTGGTGCGATTGTGAATGGGCAGACGCTTTGTCATTAACCAAAAAAATTTGGGGCTTGAAAAAACGTATTCTTACAGCATGAAGGATTCCCAACAATATTAACCCATTTTGAAGCATGTCAACAGCGAACGTTGTGGTCTCTGTAGTTGCGGCTATTCCCATTAGTTGGGAAAATAAAGCAACAGCTTCTCAAAGCACCTTGGCTTGACGTCTAGGGCCAATTCCAGTTGAATACCTACACCACTTACAGCCGTATCCTCTCTAGAAAACGATTTTTTTTAACCATCGATAACAGGTGCCAAGAGTGTATTTGTCTCAAAAAAGGTTTCCATGTCATCGAAGAATGCGGGTTCGTACATTTGTCAAATAGTTCCCGTCAATGCAACCTCGACGGAAGGGTGGACGCTGACAAAGTGGATACGCCTAGAGCCTTACCATGACGCAGTGTGTAAGTCCTAATTAATTAGAAGGAGTCTCTTTACGGTGGGTTGCGTACGCCGACGAAACAGCAGTTAAAGTGTCTCTTAACCGCGTCCATACGTCATTTGGCGTGGTTGGGTTGCAAGCCAAGGGCGATTTTATCAGAGGTAGTCAACCAGACTACCTTCGCCAGCGTGCTCCATTATCGTCGCCGGATGGCCCAGGAATGAGATGACTGCATTTTGGCTCCTCCAAGGTGCTATAGCTAAAAAGGATTTTACCTGTATGGTTTCATTCTAAGCTAGTGCAAATTACAAGCCTACTCTTAAAATACCTAAAAGGTTTAGGCCATTATTAAAACATGAATGACTGTCGACTTAACCTTAGGACATCCATAAGAGAAGCAATTGCTACTGCCTACAGATGACACCGAGAATCAGACTAGTACATTAAACCAATTGATGGCGCAAAACAGATCCAACCTACCATTGTGGTTGTTGGTGGCGCAGAGCTAAATCACGTTTTCGTGTTTGTCGGTGAATTTCATCCTTTTAATTTCCTGCACGAAGGTGACCACGTCTGCTTCGAATAAACCGGCTGCGGTTCATTAAAAAGATAGAAAAATTGTAGTAATCGTGAGTGAGTAAGATAAGTGTACGGAATAAAAAGGAATCATCAAGAATATAAAACAGACATTCTGCCTGCAATAGAATCTGATAGGTAAGAAAGATACCCATGAAGGGCCCAGCGAGTGATAATCGTACCCTGATTCCTCAACATTCACTGGCTCTCTTTTGATCGTGATTTAATTATGCTTGGCAAATACGTTGAATCAGGACCATGCAGTGACAGCGAGGCCCTTCCCTCTATAATAAATGAATGTCGGTGCAATGCCAACCATCGTTTAGGTGACCTTTGGTGTCGCGAGGTCGCCAAATATCCCATCAAAATTAATGTATTGCTGGGTGCGTTACAGCCTGGGCACCCTCTCTAACCTGCCAGTAGGAGGCCCCTCCGCACCCTTACGAGAATTTTGGTGGGGTTAGACATTTTCAGTCCTACTACTCCGGTGTCACTCGGTGGTACCCAAACAATGTTGATCTAGAACGGAAGACGCTTGTAAGTTGGAGTGGCCACACCTTGTAGACATGGAATATCAGAACCAAGTGAATGTCTACTTCAAACCTGGTCTTCGTCAAGAGGTTGATCGAGCAAAGCGAACTCACTGGCAAGTTAACTCAAAGGCGCTGCTGATACATCCGAGTCAAACAAGGCGCAAGTGCTGGCAATTCCAAGATCGTACCTTATATTGCGGTGCTGGCCCACGCAGATTCCCATAGAGCATCAAAATCATCCATCTGTTGAAATGGCATTTAACTTTGAATAAGTTCATGGTGTGCGCATGGCGCGCAAAAAAAACATGCATTTTAGAGCTCCCTCCGAAAACGGACTATATTAAAGACCAAAACCCTCATAGCCGCGATATGAACCAGTTATATCGAGTTGAAGGCAAGAACCAGGGTAAATGTGTGGCAATCGAGCCCTAAAAATGGCATTCATTACCAGAGAAAAATCATGTGACAAAGATCAGGTGTAGTGCTATTAAAAAGCCATTTAGTTGTGCTTATCCTCAGACACACGTCAGACAGCCTTAGAAGCAAATTAGTCTGTTGCTGCTGTAAATAAAACACGGTCTACTACCTAAGTCCAATCCGTCCACATTCTACTAACTCACAGGCTACAGGCCAACAGACATGGGCAGTTTGGGTAATAATAGTTAGGATTCTGGCCTTTAGCTTTGATCCTGCATAAATGCTTGGAAGTGAATCGAGGGTATCCGCGGGAAGAAAGACCAAATCTATTTCGAAGGGTCTTAATAGCCACAGGAAGGCGACCGATGATGCCTCCAGGCAGGTGTACGGCAGACCCACAGAGGACAAGGCCAAAATCACCCTCACCAAGACACCCTTTGACCTGCACACAGCCAAAGGGCACGTCGTAGGTTGCCCTCCCCTCCCCTCCCCTCCCCTCCCCTCCGTATCGTCGCATCAACACCCTCCGCCCTCCAGTCTAGACGGTCTCGTCTTCAGCATTTCGACGCGTGTTGCAGAGGGTGCTGAGGTGTGTCTCCGCTGTGAGTACTTCCTTCGACCACAGGCCAACCACTGTTTCACAATGCTTATCTCCTTTGTGGAGGAGGTCAGTCCGACCAGGACAGAAGTTGCGGTGGCAGCATCCACGCGATTTCGGTACCCTGGCAATCTTCGGGAAGCTCATAAAAAGTCTGGTAAAGTGGTGAATGTAAGCCTCAATATTGGTTTTGTGGACCCATCACCCACCGTCTTTAATCGACCAATGGTCTGAACTTGGTGCGATTGTGAATGGGCAGACGCTTTGTCATTAACCAAAAAAATTTGGGGCTTGAAAAAACGTATTCTTACAGCATGAAGGATTCCCAACAATATTAACCCATTTTGAAGCATGTCAACAGCGAACGTTGTGGTCTCTGTAGTTGCGGCTATTCCCATTAGTTGGGAAAATAAAGCAACAGCTTCTCAAAGCACCTTGGCTTGACGTCTAGGGCCAATTCCAGTTGAATACCTACACCACTTACAGCCGTATCCTCTCTAGAAAACGATTTTTTTTAACCATCGATAACAGGTGCCAAGAGTGTATTTGTCTCAAAAAAGGTTTCCATGTCATCGAAGAATGCGGGTTCGTACATTTGTCAAATAGTTCCCGTCAATGCAACCTCGACGGAAGGGTGGACGCTGACAAAGTGGATACGCCTAGAGCCTTACCATGACGCAGTGTGTAAGTCCTAATTAATTAGAAGGAGTCTCTTTACGGTGGGTTGCGTACGCCGACGAAACAGCAGTTAAAGTGTCTCTTAACCGCGTCCATACGTCATTTGGCGTGGTTGGGTTGCAAGCCAAGGGCGATTTTATCAGAGGTAGTCAACCAGACTACCTTCGCCAGCGTGCTCCATTATCGTCGCCGGATGGCCCAGGAATGAGATGACTGCATTTTGGCTCCTCCAAGGTGCTATAGCTAAAAAGGATTTTACCTGTATGGTTTCATTCTAAGCTAGTGCAAATTACAAGCCTACTCTTAAAATACCTAAAAGGTTTAGGCCATTATTAAAACATGAATGACTGTCGACTTAACCTTAGGACATCCATAAGAGAAGCAATTGCTACTGCCTACAGATGACACCGAGAATCAGACTAGTACATTAAACCAATTGATGGCGCAAAACAGATCCAACCTACCATTGTGGTTGTTGGTGGCGCAGAGCTAAATCACGTTTTCGTGTTTGTCGGTGAATTTCATCCTTTTAATTTCCTGCACGAAGGTGACCACGTCTGCTTCGAATAAACCGGCTGCGGTTCATTAAAAAGATAGAAAAATTGTAGTAATCGTGAGTGAGTAAGATAAGTGTACGGAATAAAAAGGAATCATCAAGAATATAAAACAGACATTCTGCCTGCAATAGAATCTGATAGGTAAGAAAGATACCCATGAAGGGCCCAGCGAGTGATAATCGTACCCTGATTCCTCAACATTCACTGGCTCTCTTTTGATCGTGATTTAATTATGCTTGGCAAATACGTTGAATCAGGACCATGCAGTGACAGCGAGGCCCTTCCCTCTATAATAAATGAATGTCGGTGCAATGCCAACCATCGTTTAGGTGACCTTTGGTGTCGCGAGGTCGCCAAATATCCCATCAAAATTAATGTATTGCTGGGTGCGTTACAGCCTGGGCACCCTCTCTAACCTGCCAGTAGGAGGCCCCTCCGCACCCTTACGAGAATTTTGGTGGGGTTAGACATTTTCAGTCCTACTACTCCGGTGTCACTCGGTGGTACCCAAACAATGTTGATCTAGAACGGAAGACGCTTGTAAGTTGGAGTGGCCACACCTTGTAGACATGGAATATCAGAACCAAGTGAATGTCTACTTCAAACCTGGTCTTCGTCAAGAGGTTGATCGAGCAAAGCGAACTCACTGGCAAGTTAACTCAAAGGCGCTGCTGATACATCCGAGTCAAACAAGGCGCAAGTGCTGGCAATTCCAAGATCGTACCTTATATTGCGGTGCTGGCCCACGCAGATTCCCATAGAGCATCAAAATCATCCATCTGTTGAAATGGCATTTAACTTTGAATAAGTTCATGGTGTGCGCATGGCGCGCAAAAAAAACATGCATTTTAGAGCTCCCTCCGAAAACGGACTATATTAAAGACCAAAACCCTCATAGCCGCGATATGAACCAGTTATATCGAGTTGAAGGCAAGAACCAGGGTAAATGTGTGGCAATCGAGCCCTAAAAATGGCATTCATTACCAGAGAAAAATCATGTGACAAAGATCAGGTGTAGTGCTATTAAAAAGCCATTTAGTTGTGCTTATCCTCAGACACACGTCAGACAGCCTTAGAAGCAAATTAGTCTGTTGCTGCTGTAAATAAAACACGGTCTACTACCTAAGTCCAATCCGTCCACATTCTACTAACTCACAGGCTACAGGCCAACAGACATGGGCAGTTTGGGTAATAATAGTTAGGATTCTGGCCTTTAGCTTTGATCCTGCATAAATGCTTGGAAGTGAATCGAGGGTATCCGCGGGAAGAAAGACCAAATCTATTTCGAAGGGTCTTAATAGCCACAGGAAGGCGACCGATGATGCCTCCAGGCAGGTGTACGGCAGACCCACAGAGGACAAGGCCAAAATCACCCTCACCAAGACACCCTTTGACCTGCACACAGCCAAAGGGCACGTCGTAGGTTGGATCTAAGGCCATCAGAACACGCACGTGCAGTTTCGCTTCTTCATTCTCTATTTCCACGACTTTTGGCAGTAAGAATAAAGGTACAAGTTATACAGAAGAAAAATGAAACAGCTGTATTTTGATCGCAGT